CAAAGTCCACAACACCCTCACATCCATTATATATGTTGGCATGATATGCTAAGAAAAGAGGGGTATGAGGGGGCTTGTTACCCCTGTCTAGGGAATGAAAAAAGGTAGGAAAGGTTTGGTTTGGGTTTTTGGGTTTGCATGATACCCTGGTTTTGAGACTGTCTCTAAAGGACAAATTGCGCACGGTAACAAACACCATTTCAGGCATCAGTGAGTGTAGTTTTATGATAGTGTCATTACAGTTTCTTTTTTCCGTAACAGTAAAGCAAAGTATCAAAGGTTGCACAACATTCTTATAATCACTTAAAGGAAATACCATAGATGAAATGTCTTATTTTCAATTATTCTATCCATTACAGACAAAATTCACTTTGCACCAAAAACTTGTGCAAAATAAACTATACAGTTGTTTTTATTCTGATACATCTACAGGATATCACATGAGGAATATATTAATATTTGTTAAGTTTGATATATGTTACAATAATGGTGTCACTGTAAATCAGTTGGAAATATATAACAAAAGCCTAAAGAGAACTTGTTTGACATGACCAACACAGTACAATATTTTATTTCTTTTTCGTCTTCCAAGCAAATTTATATATATAAAGTAATTCTTTACAGTATACAAACACTTCCCAGAGATTAAGTCGCCAATTCCAGGTCACAAACTTTATTCAACAATCAAAGTTGCCATGACCGGGCATGCCCTTTGGGCACTGTGAGGGGAGGATTGATGGCTACTTTGCCCCCCCCCCTCCCGAACACCCATCTAGAATTATTTTCCTCACTTAGGTTTGCACAGCAAAACAGAGCTGAAATTCAGAAGCACCAAATGGACTTAGGCTGTGAGCAGCGCTTTCTATAAATGGTAATTCTTTACAGTACAAACACACATCTCAAGATTTGTTCATCAATCCAAGTTACTGAAACTGGGCATTCCCTTCAGGCACTGCCTAAGGGGAGGGTTGATGGAGGGCTTTACCCCCAACATCCCCTGGGAAACATGGTCTTCACCTCTGTATCCACGGCAAGATAGAGCTGAAACTTGGGAGCACTGAGTGGCCTTAGTCTGAGAGCAGCATCTTCTGTGATATTCTACCTTCATTTGTGATGTTACTGTTTGTGTTTACTGATGTTTTTTTGTACTGATGACTACAAATTTTTGTCCTCTAAAAGAATATCATATTCAATTTGCCTCAACTCAGTGCAGCCATATGATTAAGTTTAACCCCACATTCTATTTCCATCATTTGCATTACTGTTTATGTCTGCAGATATTTTGGATAAAGTTAGAGAGAGCGACACGCAGTAACAGAGGGAAATGGACACCGCCATCTTATAGAGTATAAGGTATATAGCCATTAACAACAAAGCTACAGCTGCTGCTGTCTCATATTTAGCACGGAATGACAAAAAATATCCACTGCATATGAAGTCCACACCACCCTCACAGCCAGTATTCTTAATGTCTGTTTTCTATATGCTGGCATAAAATCATAATAAAGGGGGGTATAGGGGGACTTCTCACCCTCTCTAGGGAATAGATAGAAAGTAGGAAAGGTTAGGTTTTGTTTTATGAATTTGCATGATACCCTGGTTTAGGGACTGTCTCAGGAAGATGCATAGCTCTCAGTAACAAATACCACTTATCATGACAACCAAGAATAGTGAAATAAGTTACTCTGCCATATCTCTGTTGCTTTAATAAAACAACTTATTCCATATTTTGTCTCATACCGTCCTAGCTCATCATTTTTCAGTGTTCTTTAGAGAAGAAACACTTAAGCCTATGTGCCACTTCATGAATTCCGTCCGTTATTTTCATCATGATTTTACTTAGTTTCTTTGATCAGCAACTCTAATCCATTTAACAGGTGAATTTTTAAATCATTACAATAACATCTAGATTTGGCATCTTCCCAATCGTCCCCACTTATCGTCTTCCTTTTGTTGAACTGTCAAAATACGATCTGCCGTTCGCTACGCATATGTAGCCAGAGGGAAGTTATCTAATGATCACATTAAAAGTTTATTAGCAACAAAGGGAGATATGGTGACAAAATTACCGAGTTGAAATACAATAAACTAAACAATCCAAGAAGCCTATGAAAAAAACGAGAATTTGCCTTTGTTTGCTAGTCTTATCACGAGAGAAGCACTAACGAAAAGTTTTCCTTCCCATATGAACATTTCAACCAACTTCCCTATCTTACCTGCCAGGAGGAGAGCTAACCCAAAGCCAGGCAGCTTCATGGTGGCTTCGGAACTTGACCTACGCAGTAAGGACGACCACAACCCCAGCACCAGAGAGAGAACACACAGAAGTGAGGCAAAACGGAAGAGATCAGCCGAGAGTTGTCATGTGATGTTTATAAGACCTTCCTGAGGCAACACTGCGTTGCCACTCGTGCCGAAGCCCTTCTGCGCACCGTTTCACGTCGTTTGCTTGAAATGTCTCTGTTGTACCAAATATTCTTGTTTATTCAATGAGATGTCA